TAGGATATTTAAATAAAACTCTACATACACATGCATTCTCGTTTAATCAAACAATATTTCAATTTATATTTTAGAAATATTCTTTAAAATGTATAAGAAATACTAAATCTTCTCACAAAAAATTTGTAGATTTCTACATTCCTCTTCTCTTCTTCCTTCTCTCTCTAATTCTCTCTCTAGAAAGATTTTAAATTAAGTAAAATAAAGATAGTATGTGAAGAAGTGGTGGGCAGAGGCCCTTATTTATAGATTAAGTGGGCTATCAGATTTTTCCCAAGTGGTGCAAATCTGTGAGAAGAGAGGGAGGAAAAAAGTTGATTGACGCGATCCGATGATTGATAGATGTGACTGACAGTCGACTGACGAGACGACAACGATGCGACGACCAGCACAAATGCTGTTGGCATGCCAGCCGAGGAACGATGCACACCTCCCAAACAGTAGTGACACGCTAGCCGAATGGCGATGCACACCCCCCAAAGGGCATCGCACATCGCCCAAGGCTTGCCACCTGCACTGGCTGAGGCACCTACGCGCGCAGTTTGCGTACAAGCACTCGAAGCCCCGCACTGTCTGCGCACCTCGTGCCCCATGCAGATGGGACGTGCACACGTGTGCACAAAATATGGGGCCCATGCGAATGGGATGTGCACGCAGGAACACATCCAAGTGGCTGCGTGCAGACTTGGGCACGACATGGGAGGCTCGCGCGAGTGGGGAAAACTTTCCCCGTGGCTTTTTTGCTGGATTTCTCTGCCATTTTCTCCGTTTTTCCTAAAATATCAAAAATTAGTGATAAAAATTACAATAATTTATAAATAATTATAATATTTTAAGTAAACACAAAATAATGCAAAAATTTTAAAACATAAATTTAAATAGTTAATGGCCTCAGGGCCCAAATAAATAGGAGTTTTACACAACACATTAAGCACGAAAGTTCTGGGGTGTTGCATTCCCCCACCTTAAAAAACTTTGGTCCTCCAAATTTATTACAAATAAGTCTGAAAATTTCTTTTGCATTCCTTCCTCAAGCTCCCACATCGCTTTTTCTAGAGTGTGATGTTGCCACTGTACCTTCACCATTGGGATCCTCTTGTTGCGAAGATCTTCTCCATCTGATTGAAAATTGCGGTTGGGAACTCGTCGTAAGTTTTATGTACTTGAACTTGAATTTCCCAGTGCAGAATAATATGGGAGGATCATGGTGTACCTTTTAAGCATGAAAACATGAAAAATATCATGCAAACCCGCGAACTCTGGAGGTAGAGCGAGGTGGTAGGCCATGATTCCAATACACTCTAATATCATAAAAGGTCCTATAAATTGACGGCTCATTTTCCCTTTATTTTCAAATAGCATTTTATCTTTATAGGGAAAGATTTTGGGGAAGACATGGTCACTAACAACAAACTCCAGTGCTCTCCTACGGTTGTTACCGTAACTTTTCTGATGACTCCGGGCAGTGTTAAGATTTTTGCAAATAATGGCGACTTTGTCAATGGTTTCTTGGATGTAGTTTGGTCCCAAGTGATGCTTATTTTTGAACTCGTTCCAGTAAGTTTGTGAACGATAAGGCCTACCGTACAGAGCTTCATATGGAGCCATGCCATATTGGAACGATAATTGTTGTTATCAATAAACTCACAAAGAGGAAGATGCTCATTCAAATTGTCACCAAAGTCAATAATATAGGCACACAATATATCTTTCAGCATCTAAATGGTACACTCAGACTGTCCATCAGTTTGGGGATAATAGGTAGTGCTGAAGTACAGACTTGAGACAAGGGTTTCCTGAAAGCTATCCTAGAAATGGGTGGTATACCGAAGATCTCTATAAAAAATAATAGAAGAAGGAACGTCGTGGAGTCGGACAATCTTCTCGACAAATAAGCGGGCTAATTTACTGGTGGAGTCTATTGTTCTAATGGCAAGAAAATAGGCAGTCTTGGTCATTTGTCTACTATGACCCATATTACATTGCGACTAGAGCTGGTTCTGAAAAAACTAATGACGAAGTCCATAGTCACATGTTCCCATTTTTACTCTAAGATGGGAAGTCTTGGAATAGTCCGCCAGGTCTCTGGTGTTTGGCCTTGACTCTCTGACAAGTAAGGCACCGGGAGACAAAATCAACAATGTTCTTCTTCATTCCATGCCATAAATACTGGCGCCTCAAGGCACAGTACATCTTGGTGCTTCCTAGATGGATGGATAAATTGTATGCATGAGCTGCCTTCAGAACACCAATCCTGACTTCAACAGGTACCCAAATAAGATCTCGAAATCGACATAGAACATCATTAGTGATCTTGAAATCAGAAAACTCATCAGAAGTAAACTTACCAAGGTTTTGTGTAATCTCAGGATCAGTTGACTGAGCTTTCCAAATTTTCATGAAGAGATCAGGTAGGGCCCGAATTTAGGCAAGCTAAACACCATTGCCATAATGATTAAAATGGAGTGATTGCATTGTATCGATTAATTTCCAATTGAAAGTCATCAACTGTGCCAACATAACAAATTTCTTTCAACTCAAAGCATCAACAACCACGTTACTCTTCCTGGGATAGTAAAGGATCTTACAGCTATTCTTTCAAGAGATCAATCCAATGTCTCTGCCTCATATTATGCTCTCTCTATGAAAACAAGTATTTCAAGCTTTTGTGATCCGTGTAGATCTCGAAGATTTTTTCATACAAGTAGTGATATCATATCTTGAGAGCAAAGATAATGGCAGCCAATTCTAGGTTGTGAATTGGGTAGTTACACTCATAGAGTTTTAATTGTCTGGATGGGTTGACATAAACTCTTTCACAAAAAATTAGATAACTGAGGAAGAAAATACGGTTCAACCAACTTTCCCTCTCTATATATATATATTTATATATGTTTATATATATGTATATAGACATAGATAATGCACTCCTTTTCTTTTCATTGAGCAAAATGGTTGGTTAGTTATGTTTGTATATGTACATACAAGCATATACATATATGTATATATATAGAGGGAAAGATAAAGATTACCAATCCTCATCATCCACTGCCTAACATCCAATAGACCAGAAAAATAGTCCAAATAAAGTTGTTACTATAATTTTTCACAAAGTAGCATCATCTTTAGACTACTATCAATCTCATCATATCAACCTCCATTGCGACAGTTTATAACCAAACACAGCTCATATTTCACATTTTTTTTTCTTCTAGGTTTTAACAAGTAACTGATGTTTTGTGCCTCTAGGTGATTGCATTCAATTGGAGAAATGTCAAGCTAGAAAGAAATAAGCATATTAGCCAAGTAATCAGTGCAACTTAGTAAATGTATCTTAATAATATTAAATATTGAATGGGTACGAATTACAATTATAACTCACCACCAAGGCAAATGCAAGAATTCAATACATAAAAAATTAAAAGTAAAGCCATACAATGGACAAAATAGTTTTGTCCCTATCTAT